AATATTTAGCTATATAAATAGAGAGTGAAGTTTTTCACACCATGTTAAAAGAACATAAAGTTTTTTTTTTCTGTCACCCTCAGGCACATTTCCCAATAATTTCTCCCAGATACTAGAACCCTTGTCCTAGTTATTAGTCAACACTTAATTAATCATTTGGAATGTGCTAGGCATTGTGCTAGATTGTAGCATCTCAAAGAAAGGTGAGGCATTAGCTCTGTCCTTCAGCAGTTTATGATATAGTAAGTATGATAATAGAGGTGAGGTACAAACTTCTATTAAGAGCACAGTGAAACAAGCTCACGGTGGAGAAGAGGAGATTATATGTGGCCGGGCCCTAAGAATGAATAGTTTCCAGGTAGCAGTGATGGGGAAGGCATTCAAGGCAGAGGAAATGGCTTAGAAAAGGCACAGAGACACTGAAGTATATTGTCTGTTGGTGAAAGAAGAGAATCTTTTGAGGATGGGGCTCAAGTGAATGTGAGGAAGAGAAGATAGTAGAAGAAGGATAACTTGGCACTCAGATTGGAAGGTTCTGGTGTGTCTTGTAGCCATATTACTTTAGTCTCCAGATAGGAAACCATCATATATTTTTGAAACAGAGTGATTGAAGAGCTTTCCTTTGCGATTAGTTATTTTTAAAGAAAGGACATTTAGAATAGAAAGAAACAAAGGCAGAAAAAGCAATTATGAATCAAGGGATGGACAGTGAAAGTGAGCAATGCCAAGTGCATGTCTAAAGCTATATCTCTGTATTTGGATATGGGTCAGCTAACAGTGTAAGTAAGACTAAAAATTTAGGCATGAAAAAAATTTAGGCAGTGCTGGTAAATTAATGATAGACTTGAAAACCCATATCCGAAAAGATTTTTGCACACTGATGTTCATAGCAGCATTATTCATAGTGGCTAGGACATGGAAGCAACCAAAGTGTCTTACGATAGATGATTAGATAAAGAAGCTGTGGTACGTATATACAATGGAATATTACTCAGCCATAAGAAGAGATGAAATACTGCCATTTGTGACAACATGGATGGACCTTGAGGTAATCACGCTAAGCGAAATAAGCCAGACAGGAAAGGTTGAAAATCACATATCACTTACATGTGGGATATAAACCTAAAAGCAACAAATGAACAGGACAAACAGAGACTCATGGACATGAACTATAGACTAGTGGGTACCAGAGGATAGGGGGTGGGGGAGGTAGAAGGGGTAAAGGGGGTCAAGTATGTAGTGACAGAAAGAAATCTAATTGTGGGATGCGAACACACAGTGTAAATATATATATGCCTTACTGTTAAAAAAAAATTACTAGTGGAGCTCACCATTATGAATCTATAATCACATAGACTAGAATGTTGGCACTAGAAGAGTCTTTCAAAATCATTCATGTGTCGGCCTTTTTAAAGACATTTTTGAAGAAAGCAGCATGATAGTTATACTTTTAGATTTAATCAGTTGGTTGAGAAAATATAAGATAAAACTAGTTTTAAAAAGCATTTTTGAATGTTTTATTTAATTACAGAAGCATCTACATATGCAGGCATACCTCCTTTTTTCATGCTTCAAAGATAGTGCATTTTTTACAAATCGAAAGTTTGTAGCAGCCCTGTGATGAGCAAGCCTATTGGCGCCATTTTTCCAACAGGCTCAGATGATGGTTAGCATTTTTTAACAGTAAAGTATTTTTAAATTAAGGTATGTATATCGTTTTTAAAGACAACGCTATTACACACTTAATAGACTACAGTATAACTTTTATATGCACTGGGAAACCAAAAAATTAGTCTAACTCACTTTATTGCGGTGGTCTGGAGTTGAACCTGCAATATCTCCAAAGTATGCCTGTATTTGAAAAATAGTGGCACACATGTGTGAGACAGTCTACAGACAGTGTATAGCATAGCGATTAAGAGCTCAGGCTCTAGAGTCAGAACCTAGTTTGAATCCATGGCTTGCTAACTTATAACTTTGAACAAGTTACATGTCCATCTGTGCCTCAGTTTTCTCATTTGTAAAATGCGAATAATAATTATACCTACCTTATAAATGAGTTAATAAATGGAAACAGCCTGGAACTGTACCTAGCACAGTGTAAGCACTATTGAAAATGTTTGTTATTATGAAGATGATGTCATGCTATTTTGTATAACATGCAATAAATTAAGAGACCTTATTGTAATTAAGTTTTTCTTCTATTCTTAGATTCTAATGAATAATTTTGGGGACCTTTGAATAGTATGTTATTAAAAAGATGGTTATTTCAAAAATTTGTGTTTACAATTTTCCTTCACCCTCTTTGAGATCTCTGCTCACCTCTTGCCAACACATGCCTTAGAGTTATCAATCCTCTCTTCTTTCTCACCTATGGTTCCTGGAGAGAAGTAATTTCTAATTCTTCATGGAATCATTTATATATAATGAATTAACCTCTTTCTTATGCATCTACAGTGGTACTAGTGATGTGCCCTTCTTGGGAGAATTGGCAAAGTAGTCATTCAAATGACTACTTTTCTGTGGTTCAGATGAGGAATTTTAATGATGCGGAGAAATAAACCAATTTAACTAAGATATTTTCTTTACAACTTTGGTTTGCTTTCAGAATAAAAGCATTTTTTAATATATATGTATATATATGTGTGTGTGTATATATATAAATTTATCTTGGCTGCTGGGTTTCATGGTGGTAATGATGACAGCAGTGTCTTCTGTCTCTCAAGGTCTCTTTTGTATTTTTTTAAATTGACTTTATGTTTTGGAAAATTTTAGATTCACAGCAAAATTAAGCAGAAGGTACAGAAATTTCCCATTGTGCATTTTGAAAATCTCTGTAGTCTTTATCATTAAGCATGAGGTCTGGCACACAGAAGAGTAAACAAGTTCAGCATTTTCAAAATGGTTTAATTTTTTGGTTTGTTTAAAGAAAGTCTTTCCTACACTGAGATTTCTATTTCCTCTATACATCTTAAAGCATGTCTTTCACATTTAAGTCTATAATATACCTGGAATTTATTTTTCTGTTTGGTGTGATTGAGACTTTTTTTTTTTTTTTTACTATATGGGTATGCCCAGTACCATTTATGACTAGTTCTCTTTTCTTCTAATCAGTCTTAATGTCATGTCTTGATATCATTTTTTTTTCTGTATATGCCTAGATTTGGGTCTAAATTTTCTTTTCTGTTCCTTTGATCCATATAGATTCATTAGGAGGGAACTGACATCTTTATGATGTCATTCATCATTCACTAAATATTCATGGAGTACCTCTGTTGCATTCTGAGAACTGGGAATACAGCAGTGACTAAAAACTCAACAAACATCCCTGGAAGGATAAAAACCATAAACAAGATAAATTATATGCTGTATTATTCACCTTAGCCAAAAACTGGGAACGATCTAAATGTCCATTAAATGTATATTCATACAGTGTAATACTACTCAGCCATAAAAGGGACAAACTACTTATACATGCAACAACACAGGTGAATCTCAAAAATATACTAGGTGTAAAAAACCAGGTACAATAAACTACATATCACATGATTCCATTTATGTTAGGTTTCTACAAAACGCAAAACTATAGCAATAGAAAGCAGATCATTGGTTGCCTGGGTCTTGAAATGGGAGTGAGGATTGACTGAAAAGAAGTATGAGGGAACTTTTTAGGTGATGCAGGTGTTCTAAAATTGGATTATGGTGATGGTTGCACAATTGTATAGATTTACTAGAACTTATGAATTGTATACTTAAAGTAGCCAGATCTCATGGTGTGTAAATAATACCTTAATAAAATTGTTTAAAATAACTATTTTATGCCAAAACAGATGAACTTTCAGCACATGCTAAGCCACAAAAAAGACAGTCACCAAAAAACCCACATGCTGTACGATTCCATTGGTGGTGACTGGGAGAAAATAGGGAGTGACTTGCTAATGTGTATGGGGTTTTTTTGTGGGGTGATAAAAATGTCCCAATATTGCTGTAGTGGTGATGGTTATACAACTCTGTAAATTTACTATTTGAATTATATACTTTAAGTGGGTGAATTGTATGGTATGTGAGTTATCTCAATAAAGCTGTTACAGAAAGTAAATGAAATTATAAACTATGTATGAAGGAGAATTAGGAGTGGGGAGGGACGTGGTGGTGGTGGTGCTGGGGAACTCCTCACTGAGAAGGAAACAGTTGAGCAAAGAGTTGAAAGAGATGAGAGGTTGAGCCATATGGATACCTGGGAGAAGAACTTTCTAGAAAGAAAGGATAATCAGTGAAAGATCCTGAGAAGAGAACACATCTGGCATGTTTGAGGAAAAACAATGAGGTCGGTATGCCTGAAAGGGAGCGAGCAAGGAAGGGAGCTGTAGGAAATGAAGGTGGGACTTCGGTTTTCATAGTGAGGGATATAGGGAGGCAATGTAGAGTTTTGAGTAGAGAAGTGACGTGGATTTTTAACATGGCTGTCGTTCTGAAAATAAACTGAAGGGTAGCATGAATGGAAGCAGGGAAACCAGTTAGAAGGCAGCAGTCCGGGAGAGATATAAGTGACTTGGACCGAGGTTGAAGAAAAAAGTGGTCAGTTTTTAAATATATTTTGAAGGAAGAAGCAACAATATTTGCTGACAGATTGGAGATGAGATAGGAGAAAAAGAGTCAAAGTAGATGTTGTATTTTTTGGCCAGAGAAACTGAAAGGGAGAGGATTGAGGATAAGGCAGATTTGTGGGGGAAATGCCAGTTCTGTTTTTGATACGTTAGAGAAGCCCATCAGACATGCTACACAGATGTGAGTAAGCAATTTGGACATCGAAATCTGGAGTCCAAGGAAGAGGGTCCTCAGGTAAAGATTGTATTTAAAGTCACGAGTCCTCCAGTCCACCAACACAATATCCTTAATAAGACAAGATGGTATTTTCCCTTAAGATAGGCTCTTAGAAATTGTTAACCTTCAACTCTGCCTCCAAAGAGAATAAATATGTTAATTTTCTTATATTTCAGGATCTTCAAGATGAAGTTCAAAGGGAGAATACTAATCTGCAAAAGCTACAGGCTCAGAAACAGCAAGTACAAGAACTCCTTGATGGACTGGACGAGCAGAAAGCCCAGCTGGAGGAGCAACTCAAGGAAGTCAGAAAGAGATGCGCTGAGGAGGCCCAGCTGGTAAAGTCTGGCCATTTACTGCTGCGGATCTAAACCTGGCTTAAAATGGAAACATGCTCTGCTTCTTGTTGTTCTTAGGTGGCACTCTAATCAATAGTTTGGGCACATGAAGGAAATGGAACATGGTTCATTCAGAAATTATAGGCCCTCTTTAGGGAAAATAGGGTACTTAATATACTATTTTTCTAAATTTTAGTTGAAAATATGGTACTCATGTCTACAACTCTCCATTTTTTTCCCTAATTGCTCTGTTCTATTAAAACCTTACATCAAAAAACATGAAAATAGTAAACTAGACAAATAAACATACTGCATTATGGAACATTTTAATGACATTTCTTTTTTTAATCCCCCTTTCTTCTCATTCACCTCCATTTTATAGATCTCATCCTTGAAAGCTGAATTAACTAGTCAAGAATCACAGATCTCCACTTATGAGGAAGAGCTGGCCAAAGCTAGGGAAGAGCTGAGTCGCCTACAGCAAGAGACAGCAGAACTAGAGGAGAGTGTGGAGTCAGGGAAGGCTCAGCTGGGTCCTCTTCAGCAGCACCTGCACGATTCACAGCAGGAAATCAGTTCAGTAAGTCTTTGCACCAGTGAGAAATAACACTCAAATGGGCCGTCACGTCCTTTTAGTAAATAATACTTTCTCAACTTCTCTCTCTGCCTAGTTTTTTTTATTCCTTTTTCAGTCATTTTATGCAAACTGGTTTCTTGTCACCTGTCATAAATTAAACTATCATACATCTAATACAACCGATGATAATCACTGGAGTCATAGTTAAGAGTGTGGGCTTTGTAGTTGGGCGATTTAGATTTAAGAGCTGGTTTTGCCACTTACTACCTGAATCACTTTAATATCAGATTCCTCACTTTTAAAATTGGAGAATTAACAATACCCCTAGAGCTGCTGTGAGGATTAAAGGAGGCAAAACCTTTGAGACCTTTTAACATAGTGTTTGATACATAAATACCAACTAAGTGTTGCTTATTTCTATAAATAATAACCCAGTATCTCTCTTTTGTGATTCTCATTTTGAAATCAGTTTCGCTTATTTGGCAACCTTTATTTTTTTAAACTAGAAAATTGTTTTTTTATATAGATGCATATGCCATGCTGTGGTAGGTCCAGTGTATAGATAGATACTTCGCTTTGTTATTTCTAGGCCTTCATAACTGGACAATATTTTATAGAATGATAGCAGGATGGTTAGACAGGAATGTAGAGAGCAATGTAGCTGTTGAGTTAAAAATAAAAGGGCCTTTCAAAGTGACAGACCAAAAGAAAAGCATTTATTGGACATCAATAAGAATAGCTATTCAGGCCGAAGCCCAAATAGTATTCCAATTAAGAGACAAAGGCGATGAGTATTTATGAGAAAGGGAAGGGGAACAATTACATCAATAGAAGGAAGGCATTTCTATTGGTGCAGATAACATAACATAGTGATATTAATTCTAAACAGTGTTTTTAATTTTCTGTCCAGTAGTTAAAATAACTGCTTTCTTGTTATCTTTGCAAACAGTTCTTTGGGACACAGTGTTGCCCTAAGCCCAGTCCACAGGTGATTTTGCCCTGTTTTAACATTCCAAAGGTTTGAAGCATAAGACTTGCCAAGGCAACTTCTCTGGCATGGCAGCTCCCAGCTCCATTTTAAACTGGCTCCATTTATTATTTTTTTGGACATAACCCATTCCTTTTATTTTGAATTTGAACAAACTGAAACCATAATTTTTTTGAGGTTTATCCATGTTGTACATGTATGAACGTTATATTCCATTGAATGTTCATAAGGTATTTTGTTTATCCATTCACCAGTTAACGGACATTTGAATTCTTTCAACTTTTTGGCTATTATGAATAATGTTGCTGTGAACATTGGCATACAATTCTTTGTGTAATATATGTTTTCATTTCTCTTGGGTATGGAATAGGTTATATTATCAAGTTATGTTTAACTCTTCCTTAACTTTAAATTGCCAAACTGTTTTCCAAAGTAGCTGTACCATTTTACATTCCTACCAGCAATATATGAGGGTTTCAGTTTCTCCACATTTGTACCAACACTTTATTATCTATCTTTTTTATTATAATCATTCTAGTAGGCATAATGTGGTATCTCATAGTGTTTTTTTAATTTGTATTTTCCTGATGACTAGTGATATTGAGCATCTTTTCTAATGCGCTTTATTAGCTATTCACATGGCTCCTTGGGCGAAATGTCTATTTAAATCTTAACCATTTTAAAAATTAGGTTGTTTGTCTTATTATTAAATTACAAGTTTTTAAAAATATATTCTGGATATAAGTTCTTTGTTAGATATTTGATTTGCAAATAATTTCTCCCAATCTCTAGCTTGTTTTTTCATTTTATTTTCTTTGACTTTTTCGAAAGTAGATTTCTTTCAAATGAAAGAGCATAAATAAAAAAAGTAGAAAGCCTTCTGGGTTTTATAAATTATCATTGGGAAAATAAAACTGTTTGTGAGCAGGGAAAATAGCCTCAGTAAACTGTACCACCAAGTGTGCCAGATGTATTTCGTATCTGTGGAGGAATTATGTCCTTGAATCTGACTTCCAAACCTTAAGAATAAACATGCCACTTTCTTACATTTGACTCAGTGGCTTGTGTGTCTTTCCCGCAGAGGGCAGTATATTCCCTTTGGTCTATAAAAATGAAAATCTGGTTATAAACCTGTCTGAGACTTTCATTGCTCTCTAAAGCTTAAACTATAGCTTTTCTGGAAAGAGGAATAACTGAAATAAAATTTTCTAACATGCTGCATTTTCTTCTTACCTAGTATTTGTAGGCTCTGACCTTAAATCTATATGTTTGTACTTATACAATACATACTATTTTATCCAAGTATTTTGAAGGTGTTCTGATAGTTTATTGCACTTCCTTTGCACAATTTCCAGAGAGCTTGTGTTAGTTGCATGACCGATTTTTTTATATCGTCTAAGTTTATGCAGAGACTGAAGAAGAACACAGGCTTAGTAACAGGTACGTGAGAGAGCCAGACACAAGATTGCCTAGTTTTGTTCAAGATTCTGATTGTTTCAGAAATAACCGTGAGGAATAAACTGTCCTAAATAGAATCGATAGGCAAGTGTTCCACTTACTGCTTCCCCTATATGATGGGTATTATTTTAGTGTCAAGGTTTTAAATTTTTGACTGCAAAGTTGTAATAGGTATTGAAATTTACTCAATGGTCATGATAAAAAAAATTTTAAAAATGAAATAGAGACTAGGAAACATCAGAATGCATTACATGTAGTAAGGATAAGTATTACTTCATGAAATGTGTTTCACCAGTGTATGTGTATGTGTGTGTGTTATAAAATCATATATAAATTATATAATTGAGTATATTTCTATATTTTATGTGTGATTATGTATACATATATACACAGAGAGTTATATCCAGATATATGCATATATATATTTACTGAGTTAGTATGTAAAGTCTATTTCTATGAATTAAAGTAAAACGTTTGTAAGCCACTGTACTATAGCACTAGGAGTATACAAGGTATATGCTGTATGTTACAAATGTGTAGTATTTTTGGATTGTTAGTTTAAATTCTAACTACAATGCAGTTTGATAGATTTATTTGCTTTTTGATGTCAACTGTTTATAAGCACAATGCTTGTGTTCATTAACTGAACAGATATTAAGCACTTATAGTGTGCATCATTGTGCTAGATGTTAGAGATAACAAAAGTTGTAGTCTCTACCCTCAAAGAGCTCAAGGTCTTTAACTTTTTTAAAATGGGGTAAATTAGTGGAAAAGGAACAGAGGAAAACATCATTGCTTTAGGAGTGGGAAATGGAGCTTGCTAGGCACTTTTACACATGGTGTCCATCGTTTACATAGTCCTTTACATTTTACAGAGCTCTTTCATATACATCTTTTGCTTTGTATAACAAGTTATTGTTACTATCTTTTGGATTAAAGAATAGAGGGTTGGAGAGGTTATTCTAAGATCACCGAACCAAAAGATGACAGAGCTAGATTTATATCTGTCTCCTAATCCAATAGTCTTCTCTCCTTAGGTTACGACCCTGAAAGATCTGTGATAAACTGTAGATTCCAAACTGAGCAACTTAAAAACCTTAGGGAGAGATGGGTACTAGACTTATTGGGGTAATCATTTCATAAGTTATATAAATGTCTAATCACTAAGTTATACACCTGAAACTAGGATATTATTGTATGTCAACTATAACTGAAAAATAATTAAATAGGGCTCAGCCTTAAGGTCTTAAGAAAAAAAAACCTTATGAGGAAAAATAACAGTCGGTAAATAGCCTTAATTTATGAAATGTCAGTAGGTAATTTTTATGTTTGCTAAAAATAAAAAGCACAGCATGCTAACAAATAAAAATATTTAAAATATATAGTTTATGAAAAATGGGAATATTCCTTTTCATTAGAAACATTTTTTGATTCTACCGTCTCAATTTTTTTGAGATATTTGTAAATATTTTTATTATAGATGTTAGGATAACTAACTATTTTTTCCTGCCTCTGATCCCCAACATTTTTTTACATATAAAAATTTATCGAATTCTATTCTCTGTGTCCTACTATTGTCCTAAGAGAATAAAGACACTTGGATATTGGGATCAAAAAAACTCTGAGTGCCTTTATTTTGCAAGTTTGCATAGCTTAGATTTAGAGACTTCTTCCTAGAGCCCATTAATAAAATGCCAGAGCTCATTTTACCTTGGTCTTCGCTCTTCTCTTTCCTAGTAGGAGCATGGTAGGAGTATGGATGGCTCCAAAGCCTGTATCCTCTCCTTCAACTTCCTTTATCTCTTCTAAAGCTTCACTACAAAATCTTCTCTTGCTCTGTCACTTTGCTATCTTTTCCCCAATACCCTGACCCTTTTTTTCTTATTATACCCTAAACAACCACCAGAATGCAGATATTCAAATCATAATTCTTGGAGCTTTCAAAAGATGTACAAAAGCAAGTCTATGTTTTGGAATTTGAAGAGGAGAAGTTACTAGGATAGATTACTGAAATCTTTAAGTCGTGCTTCATTCCCAGAGTATTCTCCTTATGGAAGCAAATTTATCCTTGACCAAGTCCAGGGATATAGTGATATAGTTGCTTGTCTTTCTAATAATAAATTATTTTATACTTCTGCTTTGTGTTGACAGATGCAGATGAAACTGATGGAAATGAAAGAGCTGGAAAACCATAATACTCAATTAAATTGGTGCAGTAGCCCACACAGCATTCTTGTAAATGGCGCTACAGATTATTGCAGCCTGAGCACCAGCAGCAGTGAAACAGCCAACCTGAATGAGCATGCTGAAGGCCAGAGCAACCTAGAGTCTGAGCCCATACACCAGGAGTCTCCAGTGAGTCTAATAGTTCCATAATCTTCATAATTAACTACAGAAAAAAACTTGGTTTAGATCAAAGTTTTGTTGACATCATACCTGATAGAAATAATGTGGCCTGCCTCATCTGAGGACAATTGAGGTTTGTTTGTTTTTTTTTTCTCCCAGAGGCAGAGAGTGGGTACTGATCCAACAATTCTAACAGTTTTAACTAGTGTAAAAATGTAATTTTAACCAATATATTTGTTATAGAGCATGTTTTCAAAGCAGTAGTTCTATAGATAGTAACTTTTTCAAACAAGTTTTTATATACTCTCACCCAAAGCTAAAAGGAATTCTTTATTTCACAGTGTTAAGGATATTTATTTACCAGTTATTTAGAGAGCACCAACAAGGCACAAGAGTGCTACTAAGTTACATGCGAGAGCTACAGAGACAAAAAACAAAAGAACCCTACCTTCACACAGCATACAGTCTAGTAGTGTAACACTGTGTAAGAGGGCTATGACAAAGGAAGCATGGGATATTCAGGTAGGACAGCCTCAAGAGGGCTCAGAGAAGATTTTAGAGGGTTTTTAAAGCTGTACAAGTGACCTACACAGTGAGAAGGGGTTAAGCAAAGATGGTGGTGCATTCCTGGCAGAGAAAACAGTATTAGCGTCGGTATGGGATGCGAGAAAACACGCTGCACAGGGTTGTGAGAAGTTTTCGGAAGATATCTCACGAAGGTACAGAGAGTATTGGTAGGGCACGAGGCTCTCTCCCAGTGGGCACCTGCATTACCTCTGGTACTTCATCAAAATATAGATGCCCGAGCCCTACTCCAAACTTGTTGAACTAGAATTTCTAGGATGGAGCTAGGTACATATATATTTAAAACAAATTCCCTGGTTGATTGTGATGTGTACTTAGATAAAATTGACCACTTTTAGGTCAGAAGGGGCCAGAGAGTAAGAAATGTGCATTCATCTGGAAGCATTGGGGAATTTATCATATTACTGTGAGTAGCCATTGAAGAATTTCAAGCAAGAAGTGACAGGATTAAATTTATCTTTTAGAAAATGTGGAAGATAGATTAGAAGGTGGGACTAGACACATAGAGATATGTTAAGAAACTGTTGGAATGGTCTGTGTGAGAGTCGTTTTAGTCCAAACTTAAGCAGTAACAGGATGGATGAGTAGAAGAATACAAATTTGAGAGACATTAAGGATGTAAAATTAACAGATTTGATTTTATTTAGACAGTACAGTCTTGAACTCATTATAGAATATTATTTTAAGTACAGAAGGTAAAATTACTAGATTATCCTTCAAAGACATAGAGTGGTAGGAAATGGAGATTGCCCCTGCCACTTCTTAAACCTTATTAATTTACTGATATAAATCCAGAATACAATGGGAAGCCATTGAGGGATTTTTATCCAAAAGGGTCAAGATCAGATTCACAGCTTAGAACTACTACTTTGACTGCTATAAGGCACATATTACAGGCAGGAAGGCAGTTAGAAGGTTACTACAGTAATCGGACTAGAAATAACGATACTTAAGTGGATGACAGTGACAGAGAGGATGGAGAAGAAGGGAAGAGTTTGAGAAAGAGGTAGAAAGTAGACTCAGTACAACTTTGAGGCTAGCTGAAGGATGACCAAAGGGAAGTGGTTAAGAAAGACCTAAAGTTATCAGGACTTCGATGCTTGGCGATAGCATTTTCCCAAGGAAGATTATAGGAGATGCCTTTCAGCGAATATGTTCTGCTTGTCTTTTTTTAATTTCTAGTAACTTTTGGTTATTTTTGATTTCAGTTTCCTCTGCCAAGTAGAAAATACATCTTTAGTTCATGTAGCATTAATATTTTGTAGGCGAGAAGTAGTCCTGAGATACTGCCTTCTGGTGTGACTGATGAAAATGAAGTGGTGACTGCAGCTGTTAATGAAAAAGGTTGTCCTGAATTTAATAGTGACAGACATTCAAAAGAGGTAAAAATAATTTTATCTGTAAATGTTCTTATCACTGGTTTCCCAAAATGGGTTATATATTATTTTAGGCTAAGGAAAGGGAAAAATATGTTAAGTGAACTTTATGACCACAGAAATATTTGCTATATTACCATCAGTTGATTTTTCAAAGCATATTTTATTTTTAAATGTTACCTTTTAAAACTTTGGTTCCTAAAAAAATTTTCTTATTAAAAATTATTTTTAGGATGATCCATTTACTGTAGAATCAAGTTCAGTGACAGATCCAGTTACAGATACAAACTTGGATTTTTTCCAGTCTGATCCTTTTGTTGGCAGTAAGTACTCTTATTTTTATATTATAGATTTACCAGAAAGACTTTTTAATAGATAAACTGTATAAAAATTAGGGCTTCAGTTTTCAGGGCCTAGTTGTTACAGCAAAAATAGAGAGTTAGGGTTTTATATGCTCAAATTTTAGTATTCGTTCTCTTCAGGAAACTAAATTCTGAGACTGAGCCTTCGATGATTTCTTTGGAGCCCTTGATAAAGAGTATGTTTCTTCTTCAGAATAAGGACCAAAAGAAAGAGAGTCAGGCACTCTTAACCAGCAATTATTTACTAAAAGCGCCAACACCATGCTTTAAAACTGGAAGCAATAGTAGTTAAGTAGCCTGATTCCCTGCCCTTCGAGTGCCTACAATCTTATTAAAGAAACTTAAGTTTATTAAATTAAAATGTCTGATATCAGTATAAACTGTGCTAAATACCACTGTGTCAGAGCTCTTTTTGCATTTTAATATTTCCAGAATCACATTGTGAAAAGACAGGTCAGTTTATATCAGTTTTAAAGATGGAAAACTGAGGCATATAAAATAATTTGCTTAGAGTGATTGCAGAAATGAGCCTAGATATTAGAACTCAAAAAAACAATCTTTATTGAGCTCTATAAAATGTTAAAAGATACATAAATTGAACCTTTAAATACACAGTTAAATGGTTTTAGTGTATTTACAGAGTTTATAATTATTGCCAAGATATGATTTTGGAACTTTTTTTTTTATCACCCTATAAAGCAATCCCATAACCATTAGAAGTCAGTTCCCATTCCCTAGCCCTAGCTATAGACAACCACTAATCTACTTTCCGTCTGTATAGATTTGCATGTTTATGTGATTACACAATATGTGTTCTTTTATTTCTGGCTTCTTTCATTTAGCATAATATTTTCAACGTTTACTCAATGTTACAGTATGTTTCAGTACTTCATTCCTTTTTCTTTTTTTGACGAGTAACATTGGATGGACATACCACATTTTATTTACTTATTGGTTTATGGACATTTGGGTGGTTTCCACTTTCTTGGCTATTACGAGTAATGCTGCTGTAAACATTTATATACTTCTTCTTACCTATCCTTTTGGTAATAAGCTATCCTAGTGGGTGTGAAGTGGTATCTCATTGTGGATTTGATTTTTTATTTCCCTAAAGACTAATGTTGTTGAGCATCTTTCTAAGTGCTTATTGGCCATTTGTATATCTTCTTTGGAGAAATGTTTATTCAAATCATTTGTCCGTTTGTTAATTGGGTTGTTTGTCTTTTTGTTGTTGACTTGTAAGAATTCTTTACGTATTCTGAATACAAGTCACTTATATATGATTTGCAAGTATTTTCTTGTATTCTGTGTTGTCTTTTCTTTATTTTGATGAAGTCCAATTCATCTTTTTTTTTTCTTTTGTCACTTATGCTTTTGATGTCGTATCTAAGATTCAGAGTCATGAAGATTTACGTTTTCTAAGAGCTTTATAAGTTTTAGTTGTTAAATTTAGAGCTTTCATCCATTTTGAGTTAATTTCAACATATGGTGTAAGATAAGGGTCTAGCTTTATTCTTTTGCATGTAGTTACCAGTTGTTTCAGCACCATTTGTTGAAAAGACTATTCTTTCCCCATTGAATTGTCTTGGCACTCTTGTCAAAAACCAAATGACCATGAATGTAAGGATTTATTTATTTATGGACTCTTCAATTCTATAAGAATTTTTACTTCAGTTAAGCTCACTGTCTTTGTTTCTGAGATGGTGATGGGTGATACCCATTCCTGTACTACTATGAAGAGCAGAGATTTTATTAGTAAAATTCTTGATGTCAGGACTGTCTTTTCCCCCTCTATCTGTAACTTCAACTTGTGATCAAGAAGTAGAGTTGGCTTTAATTCAAATTTGCCTCTTTTATGAGGTGTGTTGATGTTTTGCCTTTCCTCTTTATTTTTTTAAATATTTCCTAAAGGTGGGTGGCATTCATTGTTTAATCTGCTTTGAGGTGGAGTTAACAAAACAAATTTTGCTTTAAGAAATTTTGCTATTGTTTTAAAGTTAAATAATGGTGCCACAACAGTGAATATTGTTATTTTGATTTCTGCTTATTTATTTTATCACAGGTGATCCTTTCAAGGATGATCCTTTTGGGAAAATTGGTCAGTATTATTGAGGTCCATCTTAGCTTAAATTCGATTTTGTTTAATTATAAACTTATATTGTATTTAAGAATGAGAACTCTCAGTTGGGTATTATAGGAAATGGACTTTTTATTTAGTTTTAAAACTGATCTAAGGCCCCACTAAGTTGTTGTATGTGCCTTACATTTTCAGAGAGAAAGTGGTAGATTCTTGTGAATTTGCTTAATTAACTGTTAGCTTCACTTTTTAAACAATGTTTGTGCTTTTAATAATATTTACACTGATTTCTCCTTTTTGGCTAGGATTAGATGGGTATAATGAGCTACACTACTACAGGGTTTAGAACTTTTGTTTCTGTAAGATTATAGCCTAATCCAATGAGTGCAGGAACAGGAAACACCTTAAAGGATAACTAAATGTCGGGCTTTTTAAGATATTTTTTTCTGGGATTTTTGCATTAGAATAAAGCAAATTGTGTACTGGTTAGTTATGCTTTCTAAACCTCTTCCAAACTATTGGCTATGGACGTGGTTCCATAGTATAGCAGTTAGCATGTCTGCTTTGCTCACAGAAGGTCCTGGGTTTGCACCCCAGTGGAGTCATGGTCCATGGTTAACAGCCATGCCACCCTGAACAAGTCCGATGTCTGATCTCGGAAGCTAAGCAGGATTGGGCCTGGTTAGTACTTGGATGGGAGACCACCTAGAAAGATCAGGTGCTGTAGGCATAAATAATAATAATAAATTAAAAAACAAAAAACAAAACTATGGCTATTATACTTGAGCGCAGAGAGAAATACATTTAGAAATCTTTGTTGTTTCTTTAGTTACAATAGCATAGAATAAAGGTCTTAAAATGGAATCCCTTGAAATTATATGCTTATTTTTAAAAATAAGTTTATTAGGTTAAAAACTCATCGAAACCAGAAAGAAATCTGTGATCCCCTCCTCACCCCACCCCCAAAATTAGAATCACCAGTTTAGAGAAATTATTTAAGCCTAGCACACAGGAAACGTTTGTATAGTAAGTGTTGGAATTATTGATATGCTTTGGGTGAATAATGAACAAGTAGGAAAGAATGTTAATTAAAACTGTTTAACTAGATAGAACTGTCTTTACTTCATGATCATTAGTCATAATATAAAGTACCTAACTTAGCTTCTGTAGGTTCAAAATGTCTTTTATTATGGCAATTGTCATGCCTTCAGGTGACAGGAAACTCAGTGTAATATTTTTTAGTCTCTCATATTTGTGCTGTATTTCTTTAGATCCGTTTGGAGGTGATCCTTTCAAAGGTTCAGACCCATTTGCATCTGACTGTTTCTTCAAGCAATCTTCTACTGATCCTTTTGCCACTTCAAGTACTGACCCTTTCAGTGCAGCCAGCAATAGCAGTAATACATCAGTAAGTAGGAGGGTTTAAAACTTAGATGGATAACAGGTGTTCTAAGGGAGTTTCTTGAAGTATACAGTGATGAAAGAATCCTTTTATATTATTTCCAGTAGGCCATATGAAATTTTTAGTTTCATTCAACCCATCTAGTTTTTGATTCAGAGTGGGTTTTCACAGCTTGATCACCTACTGGTATTAACCAGAATAATTTATGTCATCCAAAAATCAAATCCACCTTTCAAAGGACCAAGTATTATTTCACCGGGGATATTAAAAATAAAGAACTAGAAATCCATACACCAATTTTAAGTAAAGCTTTTCAGAAATGTTTGGTATGCATTATTGAAATAATGAAAATCAGTTTAAAAGGAAAAGCATCGATGTTTTAGAAAAATAAAATCACTTATTTTATAGACACATCTGGAATGTTAATCTTATAAAAAAGTACAAATTCTCATTGAATGTCAGACTGTTGAAAACATCATAGTACAACCACCGCTATTTAAATAAGCACATAGTATGATTCAGGTACTTCTGTGTGCTTTCCAGCCATTGTTCCTAATCGTCACGTCAACCTTGCAACGTAGGTATTGGTGTTTCTATTTTAACAGTAAGGACACTGGTACTCGGGAAAATTAACTTAATGCAACCAAGGTCATACAGCTAAGTGCTTTATCGTCTGGAGGCTTTAAAAACAAAATCTTTATATCATGGATATTTAAACATTCAAAGTAATATAATGAAATATTTTAACAAACTGTCATGTACCTGTCACCCAGTTTCAATAATTGTAATTTTGGAGGGTTTTGTTTTGTTGTGTGGCTTATTTTTTGAGGCAGAATTTTCATGTCTATAAATAAACCAGATCCAGAAAGGGTCAGTTGAGTGAGAGGCATTTGAAGCAAAAATTTTGTCTTTTAATGCTCAGATTAAGAATACCATCTTTAAGGAATAATTGATTCTTGATTTTCGTATTCTTGAACTACTTCCTTACTGTATTTGGTAAAGAGCTACTTGGCCAACAACTGGTATTTTCCATTGATGTAAAACTGAGCAAATGCCTCCGTAACTGAATATTTGTGGTTTCCACAAGCTACTGGATACTGTTTTCCTCTCCAAAATAAACAACACTTAGTTTGCAGTGTGGACCCATTTGCCAAATTCTTCTTAAATTGGCTGCAACCTAAATTCTTTTCCTCTCACCTTAATCTACCCTCTCATTCTTCACTTGTATCATTTAAAGCAAGAAAGTCAAAGCAGTTCTTCCTAATTTAAAAATAAACGAGTTTCTCCTATTTCTCTATCCTGGCGAAATTTTTCTGCCATTCATTCTACTTACTTTTTCTCTTTTCTCTCCAGTTTTCTCCCCTTGCTGACAGCTTTTAATTTGTCCATGAAAAACAAAACAAAATACATAAAACCAGATTGGCAGTATAACAACAGCTATGTTTATCTAATCTTTTCTATGTGCCAGGCATGGTGCTAAGCTCTTTTCATGTGTTACCTGATTTAATCTTTACAATAATCTTATGAGACTCATGTTATTATCTCCATTTTTAAGATAAAGTAAATGAGGCTTAGAGAGGTTAAGTGGTGATAAGTTAGTAAATAATAGAGCTGAATTCACACCTGTCTGACCAAAATCTAAGGTCTTCACCACAAGATTTAACTCATTTTTTTGTAGCTCCAAAACCCCCGATTTTTGTGATTTTCCTTTAAAAAAAAAAAAAGCCTTCTGATTATGCCTCCAGGCATGAATCTCTCCCAGAAATTCCTGTTCCCTCAAGGCTAGTTTCTGCCCTCAAAGGGATATAATTTTAAAAAACAGAACAACTAGCATTTCCTTCTGTCCTAGCTAGTGTGTGGTAGCTTTGCGTAGGTGCTAAGTCATTTTGTCAAAGGATGGGAGCGGATGGCTTATATAAAAGAGAATTTCAGTGATGAGTTAGGTGACCTCGTAGGCAGATTTGGGAACATTAATTTTATAAAATTGTACCATCTGAATTTAGTTATGAAAATTACTTTTGTGTACTAAATTGCCTAATTATCAAACTAAACATAGAGTTTTGTAGCCACTTATTTCTTCATGGGCCACACAGTTCATCTTGTTCCCCATGCTGTCCCAATGGCCTTGTAGGGTATTTGCACAGTGTATGATGAAGGAATAAAAATTAAACCTGACATGCATGTAGGCATGTTTTTGTATTTCTCTCTATAATGGTACATAAAACTTACAAGCTATCATTAAAAACCAGGCCTGTTAGGTTTTCTTTCCCTCAAAGTCAAGAGGAGACTCAGTAAAAGTTGTTACTTAATAATCATGTCAGTGACTGTCTCTCACACTGGTATTTAGGCTATTATATCAGGAAGCATGGAAAGTTACTTTGCTATACGGACCAGCTTTGATTGCTATTTATTCATTCAGCAGATATAATCAGAGTATAAGCTGGTGTGCTAGTTTTATAATATCATTGGCATCAGTTAAAATAAATACTATAATTTCAGTTCCAAAAACTTCCTTAGTATTACTTCTTTAAGTCCCAGTTGGCATTACATTTCTCTTTTCAAATACATTTGTTTTACTTAGAAATTTTAAGTTGAGCTCTGCATTATCCTTTGACATTTGATTGTTATGTCTAATTTCTTGATGATTAGAAATGGATGACATTGATAGCCATGAGTCAGAGTGGAAAATAAATATCCCAAAACACTTTTCACATCCCTTTCACTTGTCTGCCAAGTCTTTCGGCTGGACTCTTAAAAAGAGCCTGGTACCAGAAAGAGAAAGTTCAGTTGTCCTCCTAAATGTACAGTTTGTTTGACTATGATTAAAAACTAAAATAGACAGTTCAATAGCAGGAATCTCTGGCTTCTGATAAAGTCTCACTCTTTGTAGCCACTCACCTTTGCCACTTGATCCAGATTTTTCCATGGCTTATTTGAAAGTGGCAGGATCTTTTTTTTTTTAGCAGAAAGCTGTATATCTATCTGTATCTATCTCTCTCTCTCCCTTCCTCCTTCCCCCTACCCCCCATACACAAGCACATGTTTCCTCCAAGGGGAAGAATGCTGAAACTATTTTTAGATAACAGAAAATGGAAATCTAGCATTTCTTGATATTAAGTACTAGGATATTTAAGAGTTAGAATACTATGCATCCTAAATGCAACCTATCATCCTGGAATAGGAAAAGGACATTAATGGGAAAACTAGTGAACTCCAAATAAAGTCTATAGTTTATATTTTTGTACCAGTATTAATTCCTTAATTTTAATAGGTGTACCATCGTTATATTAGATGTTAGCATTAGAGGAAGCTGGGTGAAGGGTATATGGGAACCCTGTATTATATCTTCAACTGTTCTAGGAATCTAAAATTCTTTCAAAAAGAAAATTAAAATATTGATGATTAGAAATGGATGACATTTTGCTCTATACAAGTAGCAAAATTATAAGGAGAGGAAAAGAAATGAATACCACCAAAGTCAAGATAATGATTACTTCTACAGAGGAGGGAGTGAGATTATGGTTGGAGAGTACATGAAGACTCCTGAGGAGTCGACAGTATCTTGGGAGGTGATTACATGTGTTCACTTGATACTTATTTGTTAAACTGTACATATGTCTCATATACTTTTATGAATGGATATTATGTTTCACGATAAAAGATTAGAAAATGATATGTATCATTTTGATTTAATAAAATTGCATATCAGTTAGGGAAAACTGTTCCCAATGCCTTATATTCCTTAATGAACTTAGAGTTTGTAAAGACTATTTTCTTTGGTATGGCAATGAGGTTTCAGCTATGAAGTGTTACCTCTCTCAGTCATGGCTTTGTGTAATTTGTTTAGGTGGAAGCATTGACACACAATGATCCTTTTGCTCCTGGTGGAACAGTTGTTGTTGCAGCTAGTGATTCGGGTAAGGAAATAATTTATCAAATTCTTTGAACAGTAAATGTTACCCTTTTTTTTAACTTTTTTTTTTTTTTTTTGGTCTCCAAATGTATTTGTCCTATTTAGTATGGTTTTAAAATCATTGCATTATTATATCCAATTGTAATCTACCAATGATAAAAATGATCATAAGTGTTTATATTTCACTTTCTACTTTTCTTGTTATTCATTATCTCAATACTATTCAGGTTAAAGATCTTTCTAGAACATGTATGGAATAGCCAGTATCGTAGAACAAATAAAAAATTGTTTTTTTTCCTTTATAAAAGCAGTGTTGCTGGGCAGTTTCAAAGTCAGCATCGACTGTGTATCTTGGTCTAAATTTTAAAATTAGTGGCTTCCAATAGGTAATGATAATAGCTTTGCAAATAGTGGATAGGTTCTTTTAATAATGCAGACAGAGAAAAGTGTTATTCTAGCATCCAGTTTTCATGCTTTATTTTCCATTTATCCTTTTAATAACATTTTAAGTAATATTCCCATTTTAAAGATCAGGAAACTCAGGACTAGAGCATTAAGTTAATCAAGTTTATACAGTTTACTAGATTTGAACCACATATCAGTTTGCTTCTGAATCCATGTCCATTGATCTTTCCATTGTATTATCCTGCCTCTTATGTACTATGTAAATGAAAAAAATTAAATTCTTGGAACCCCAAATTTGATGACAGGTACTGGGAGGATAGAGGAAGCAATCAAATGAAAAATGTTAAGGAAAGAAATGAAAGCGTTTTAGTAAGAAACTTGGAAAAGGTCCGTGGAAGGACTCTTTGGGATTGAGGGAGATAACTCCAGATTTCAACCTCACATGGCTCTTATTCCAACAATAGCAACAAAAAATGATTAGGGAAGACGCAGGTTATTTAAAGCAACCACAGTGGTGACTTTGGAGATCATCAAGTACCTCAGCTTTTTGGTCTCGGGATCCCTTTACACTTTTAAAAGTTAATGAGGACCCTCAGAGCTTTTGTTTATATGGGTCATATCACAGCATTTACCATATTAGAAATTAAAAGTGAAAAATTTTAAACTTTAACATTTATTTAAGAACAATAATAAACCCATTACCTGTCAATATAAAAAATATTTTTTAAAGAAAAGTAACTCCAAAAAACTGAGAAAAGTACCATTATTTATATATTTTTACAAAGTTATTTTAATATCTGGTTTAACGGAAGAAAGCTGGGTCCTCATATCTACTTCTGCTGCACTGTTCAGTTTGCTGCACTATGTTGTTTTGCTTGATATGTGAAATGAAAGAGATCTGGCCCGCCTAGTTATGTAGTTGGAAAAGGGAGGAGTATTTCAATAACCTTTTCAGATTATTGTGGATATTCTTCTTTGATACTATATCAGAATTCAACAAATTTTAGTTTCCTCAAAGTTAGTTACAGTATGGAATATGAAACTATCAGTGAACTTTTCATGCTCTGTTAAATTAAAATACATGGGTTCATTTTGCACATTGAATGAATCTTATATGATTTTGTAACATGCATTGATCATTGGAAAGTATTGGTTCACTGAGCCTACACTTCTTCCAAATGTTGACACATTTCATTATAAATACTTTTTAAATTTATTAGTATCACCACTCATCTCATCAGAGACTAAGAATTGGTATAATGTTAAGTTTATGAGGCAGATATAACTTTTCAAGATTCTAATTTTTACTCGAAAGCTTGGATTTTTATCATCTGCAACAAATACTATCGGTGGTTTTCCATAAAATGACAGGCTCGCTTTGTTTGCTTTAGAGGAGGTGTTGCCAACTACCAAAATCTGAATAACCATTTTTTGTCACTTCTTTCAAGTAAAAACGGGATTCCATTAAAAAAGCAGGTAGTTCATCGTTTTTCTCAAACCGTCGTGGAAATGCTTTTCCTCCTGATAACCGTCATACTTCCATACTCAGCAGAAGTGCTTTATGTGCATTTCCCATTTTGTCATTCAGAATTTTAAAAAGATGTGTAAAGGGTCATTAATTTTTATTAAAACTAATAATTTTTCTTGATTCACCAAGGACAGGCATTCTTAAGTGCAACTGCCCTTTTTTTTAACCTCCGCAAGTGTGTGATGGTGAGGAGTAAAATGGCTACCAACCAATAGTTTGGTGCCACTGCCTCAATTCCCACCAGTAGTTTTACCCACCATTGGTTTTACAGCATTGTTGCAAGTACCATCACAATGAGGAGGATAAATAACATCTTCACATTCTGGAAATAGTTTTGACCTTATAGACCTACCTAAAGGGGTCTTGGGACCTCTCGGGTTCATGGCCCACACTTAAGAGAACTGCTGCTCTAATACGTTATAAAAGATTTTCCTTTTGCCCTATATTGTGCTGGTCTCTGTTCCCTCAGGACAGCTTGCTCCCAGGAGTTATCTGGGACAGATGTCTCCTTTTATTCAAAACAGGAGCAAGAGAATAATCTCAATGTCCTGAAGAAAAAGCTGAAGAGTAGAGGCTATTTTTTTAGTTCTGTTTTTAGCTTGATGCTTCTGCTTTTCTCACAGTGCACACTTCCTGTGGTGATGGTGCCCAGTTCTGTGCCTTCGACTACAGCCTATTTCCGACGACTCCTAGGTTTAGTCCTCTAGTTCTGTACTCTTTCCAGAGCCTCCAGTACCTTCAAGTTACCTGCTGGGTATTTCCCCTTAGGTGTCAAGGTCAACAGTACTTAAAATTGAAATAATCATCTTTTCTAATTAGTCTCTCCTTCAAAGTGTAGTATAAACAAAAACAAAATGCAAATCTTTACCTCCTCCTACATTCTACTTTCTGTACTAATGACACTATTATTGGTCCTCAGCCAATCATCCTAGATTTCTCTATCATTCCTCACCTCCAGTAAATTGCCAAGTCCTATCAGTTTAACCCCCAAATAGTCTGTCTCCTTCTGCTCAGCTTTGTTTGAGCTCTCATCATGTTTTACTTGGACTGTGATATTAAATTGCCTCCAGTCTCTTTATCTGCCAAGCTATTAATAAATGACTTCCAGAATTGTCTTTCTTAACATTTGCTCATACTGCTAACCACAAATCTAAGTCATTAGCCCTGTATTCCAAATGTATATGAGCATAATGTTTATTATTATATATAATATGTTATTCATATTGCATGTGTATATATTGGGTAGTCTTTTACTTAATGTGTCACAGTTACATGTCTGAAAGTAAAGTTGTCTACCCTATGAATTATAAAACAATACTAAACATTTGAATATCCCATGTCTGTTAATAGTATTACCATCTACTCAGTTGTCTAAGCAGAGACCTGGGAGCTATTCTAGGTTGTATCCCCACTCTCCTACCCCAGAGCTTCTGTGACATAGCAGAGGCTTATCAGTTGACTTCTGAAGAAGTAAATAAATGGTTTGTTTCAAATCTGCTGCATTGTCGTAAGATTTCGAATTGAATGGAAACATAAACAGTCCAGAGAGGTTGTCATGATTAAGACATGAGTATTCAAGTCCAACTGCCTGAACTTATTCAGATAAAATTGATAGTTCCTTAGGTTTTTTTAGTCTCAGTTTCCTAAACTATAAAATGAGGTTAATAATTATACCTTGTGGGTTTGTTGGGTAGATTAAATGAGAAAATATGTTAAAGTATTTATTGTGGTTTCTATCCTAGTAAATGGTAGCTACTATTTTTGTTATTATTATTATAATTATTACTACTTTTTAGTTTGATGGTTTCTAAATGCAGACTAGTGTTACTTGTAATATACTTTTTGTTAGTTTAAAGTGAAATAAGGACAATGGAGAGAGAGAGAGACATCAACTCTCCTTTCCTAGAAAGGATTCTTTTAGTCTAAGATTGTTTTTTCATCTTAGTTTTTGAAATCCTTTTGTTTGTGAAATAAAAGGTGGACTTTTTTTTAGTTCTTATGGTTAAGTTGGCAAGTCCGTGTTTTCCCCTAACTTATGTATGTATATATGTGGGTCTTAATGTATCGACTTAGGTAGTTTACTTGTTCATAAAATTTCAGTATCTGGAAGCCACCGAGACTGAGAGAGATGGCATTACATACCCAAGGTTACAAACACAGGACATTTGCCCTCCTTGTGCACACCTCTTATATCTCTGTCCTTTTTCACCAAGAAATTTAGTGTTTAACCAGCAAAATATCAGTCTCACAGAACAGAAGAATTGTAACGTTTCAAAATAAAAACATAAAGGCAAATTTTTGTTCTTAAAAATTAAATGATAAATCACTCCACTCTAACCTCTAAAATATAGTAGTTATGACAGAGATGAAGGCTACTAAATATTTTTAATATTTTGTCTCATGTTGGGGTCTTTTTAGCATTTCCTACTGGTGGATAGACACATTGCAAATTAAGAAAGAAAACTAAAGAAAGCAAATTCAGGTTACTCAGTTTCTACATATACTTTATTTTGACTTATAAAAGTTCTTTTTCCACTTCATTATAAATGAGATTAGTTTGGGTGCCAGAAAATTTTTTGCATGGAATATTTTACTAACTCCCGACTGAGAAAATGCAGAATCTTTCCAACTCTTAATTAAGGCTTTATAACATCCTGACCATATAGAAAGGAGCTCCTGGCACCCGCAGAGTATCATCGACGCCAGCAGTAGTAAAATGCCAAGTCAGTAGGTCTTTGTTTTTATAGGCGATGAGTCAGGCTAAGCACACTTCATATATTTTACGATTCTCAGCTCCTGCTTTTTTTATGTTTCTTCTCTAATTTTCTCTATTTTCACCAACCACAGGCCATGACTGTCTGTCTCTTTGAGGCCACTTAATTTTTTAATGGAAAAGTGTGTGTATGAGCAGGTGTTTATAGTGTGTGTGTGTGTGTGTGTGTGTGTGTGTGTCTTCTCCCACATCCTTTCTGTCCACCAGTAAAAGAAAGTGAAAACTTTTTAGTAAAGTCTTTTATTTGCTTCTTCCTCATAAACGTAGATGTTGCTTCTCCTTTGCTTTCTTTGAATTTTAACATGTATTCTGTAACAATTATGTGCATGCATATGACGTAGTTCAAGCATGGATTCCTTGAAGGCAGGTGTCATGTCTTATTCCTCTCTGAATCTCTAGTGTTTAGCCTTGAACATATTAGATGCTTTGTAAATGCGAGTGGTTGAGTGGGTCAGTGAGTGAGTGAGTGAGTGAGTGAATGAGTGAATGAGTGAATGAGTGAATGAATGAATTAGAGACCAACTTGAGAAAATGGATTCTTTATAAATGACCAGCATCTACACCTCAGATTACTCATGAGTATCTTTGAAGGTTTTCTGTGAACTTGAGCTTGAGTGTCCTGTGGGTCATAAATGGATCACAGGGGGAAAAAAGTTTTCTTCCTCCTCCCAGGATTCTCTGGTAGATAGCTGTTCAGTGGGGATTAATTTTTATTCGTTTCTTTCACAACGCACACTTCATATTTCAGTCAAACCTGACCTAACTCAGCACAGTTGCCCCATGTGTAATGACTTCTTGTAAAAGCTATGGGACAGTGGCAGAGAAAAAGCATGAAGCAGATTTTTCAGTCCCTTCAGTGACAAGTGCAACTCCTTTTCCGTCATCACCCTTCTACCAGTCAGGAGAGCAGCTGCACCCTGATTGTACCTCAGCTACTGTGGCATTGAGAGTAACAGGAAGAAGAGAAAGAAAGAAAAGCCTAAAACAACACCCATGAATAGACTGGGCCCCAGGCTGTGGAACTCAGCAGATATGTAGTAATAAAATATCATCTTTTATAGCTAAAGCTATAGGATTTCCTGTAACTTCTTCAGCATCCTCTCTGGGCTCGGAGTTGTTGGTGTATCTCTAAAGGACTGATTTTTCTCTATGCTTTTACCTACCCTTCTTTATTTCGTCCACCCCATGAATGTCTTGATGACAAAGTAAACAAAAACAATGCATATCTTTCTTGCCCCTCTTCTGTTTATGTCCATGGTATAGTCATTTTTAGAGGTAAAGGCACACTACACAAATTTAAATGGGTGGATGGGCACACTTGAGTCCTAAAACTGATATGACGTAAAGATGAAGAGTTGAGAAAGGACAAGAATTTTTCTGTGCCTCTTTACTTATTCTGTCTTGCCCTCTCTTTTGTAATTCTCTTTCCCCTCCTTCCTTTGTTTCTTTCTGCTTTCCTATATCGAACAGCAATTCCAATAAACATTCTTCTGCTTTATTGGTAGCCTTTATGCCTGAACAGGTGCAGCCTATCTCAAAGTAGATCAGCTTATTCTAGTGGAAATGTTAGTCCATGTGGTAAGTGCACTGTGATGGAACAGATGATATCTCATGCCTATGGAGCAGTGGTTAAATAATTGCTTTTGCTATTACTGTGCTTTCTGCCTGGAATAGATTTCTCTCTTCCACCTTCATCTACTTGGCAAATTCCATTTCTTATTTAAAAGACCTAGCATGAATTTAATGGCTTCTTCGATACTTTTCCTGATTCTCTCAAAAGTTAGTGACTCCTACTACAGGTTTTTCATACCTCTCTAATAGCTCATTTAAGATTATTTTGCTTCAGTTTGTTTATATGTCTCTCACTAGACTGTGAGCTTTCCAAAGGTAGAAACTGTATTTTCTTATTTTCTTGGATTTGATGCATGGTCAACAAATGTTTTTTTAACCATTCATTTTTCATTGGATAAGGATTATTCCCTGTTTTTAGGTACCTTACAAATCTAGTAAGGGTGATATATCAGTCAATGGATAACTATAGTACAAACTAGAATATACTCAGTGCCACAAAGAAGGAAGAAATCACGTCTTGCTATGGGAATTAGAGATGCCTAGGTTATTCCAAGCTTTGTGGATGAGGTAGCATTTAAAATGGGCCTTGAAGGATGAGTGTGAAATGCGGAATTAATGGAGTCTAGCTTATATTACTTCTTGATGTCTTTATTAGAAATAGTTTAAGTGCTGCATGGGAGGTATATTATTTGACATGTATTCCAAAGCCTTAAATACTTTACGTAGAGTTAGTTTACCTGTTTTTGATCTTAAATCATTTACCAGTTGATTTGTATAAAAGATTATACCTATATTGTGGGGATATCAATGTGCTCACTGTCTTTGTGGACTTTAGTCCAATTCAGGAACTAATATTTGGAATTTAGATATTTTTCATCTGTCTGAAATGTTACCAACCCAAATAGAACATAAAAATTTGATGTCTTTCTTTCCTGTTACACTGATTTCTTTATTTATTTTAGCCACAGACCCATTTGCGTCTGTTTTTGGAAATGAATCATTTGAAGGCGGATTTGCTGACTTCAGCACATTGTCAAAGGTAATCCACAGTGATTAGTGGGACGGTAAAATATACTGTTTCTACAATAGGAGCAATCCTTCTTTTCAGTTTTATAACCCTCTCACAGACACTGCAACTTGATTTCAATAAATAACAACAAATGTTGATTTCAGATAGAAATGAAAGATAAGATGTAATCAAGGCAGGCATATTTCTATACATAAAGACACTGGTGACGGTACAGGTAATTATAATTTTCTACTGATAATTTTGTTCAATGGCTTTATTTTTAAGAATCTTTTTAAACATATTTCTTTCAATTGAACTACATTTTCCCCCCTGTTGACTGAGTCATTAGCTGTGAAATCTGGGCATTCATTTCATCCTCTCTGCATTGATTAATTGATTTTTGTTCTGAGGCTGTTGTGGTTAGTATGAAGATAATTAATACACATAGTCCAGCACTATATGTCTACTACCTGTTTCCCAATATAGCTCTAGGATTAATTGAAGCCAAAAGAGTAAAATTAGAGTATATGTCAAATTGTCTGTGTCATCGGTTCTCAATTAGGTGTAATTTTCTCTGCTATCCCCATCCCTGGAAACATGTGGCAATATCTAGAGATATTTTCAGTTGTCACAGATAGGGAGGGAGACTATTCATATATAGTAGATAGAGACCAGGGATGCTGTTAAACATCCTTTAAATACACTACCCAGCCCCCTACACCATAGAATTATGGCCAGCCAAAATGCAGTAGTGCTACTGTAGAGAAACACTGGCCTAAATAGATCTAAAATTGTAATGCCTGATTCATTATAGAAAAGTGAATCTTTTATTATTCCACATATTAGAACGGCAAGATCTTCAGACCTACATTAAGACTTATTCATGTATACCAACAATAATTGAAAAATAAATTATTTAAAAAAAAAAAAAAAAAAGACTTATTCCATGGGATCAGTTTGCTTTAAAAAGCTGACTTTCAGTTTGTCTTTAATGTTTTTCAAGATGCCATTATCTTTGCCAGTAGTATTAACTCTTTCCTATATTTAAGTGTATTGGGAAGTGAGGAGTTGTGTGTGTGTTTTTTTTTCTTTGTCATTCTGGTCAGATATTCATTTGAGGGAAGACATATAGTCCCTTTAAAATGGCCGCAGGTGGTTTTGTATTGCCTGAAGCTTGACAGACCTTTGATCCAGAGTTAGCTTGTTCTGGTATGATCTAAGTAGTGATATTAGGATCACTACTCATATAGAACAATTTTTTTTTAAATTCTCCCTTTTGGCCCTGAATGCAAAGGTTAAACTGTCAGTGCTCTTAGAATTGAAATCAGTAAAGCTACATTATACTGAAGACCATTCTTCCAAATGCTACATGACCATGTCCACTTCGGTTGGTATAATATATACAACCATGCATAAACCTTTCTTTTCAAAGGTCAACAGCGAAGATCCTTTTAGTTCAGCTGCATCAAGTACTGTCAGCAATGTGATTGTTACAAAAAATGTGCCTGAGGAAGCATCAGTCAAAAGTGAAGATATACCCCCAGCACTGCCACCAAAGGTCGGAACTCCAACAAGACCCTGCCCACCACCACCTGGTATGAGAGTTGGTACTTTTGCCAAATCAACTAGATGCTTTTTCTCCCTAAGTTATTGTGTGAGCGTTATTTATAGACTTATCTAAAGGACCCTAAACAAAACAAGTGAAAAAACACGGCAGAAGCCTGCCGCTATCATCTGTTGTGGTCCCAGTACAAAATTGCAGAAATGTGCGTAGGAGGCCAGCATGCATAACTGTCGTGAACTGCTTTTCCCGGCAAGAGCAAATTTCCTTTTCAATCATTTTAGAGAGGCAGTAAAGGAAAAATGAAAGTATCGATGAAGTCCCTTGGTTTTTGGAAGTTCGTTAATTGCCATTTCAACAATAGTTTCCTGCACTTTGGTCTTTTAATTAATTCCTAGAAGAGGAGATTAGTTTGAAGTCCCATTCTTTTCTTGCCAAACGTGAATGAAGTCTTTCTTAAATCCTTTAATGTGAGAATATATGGCTTTTTTGGCATCCAGAATTTAGCAATATAGTGATTTTAAAGAAAGTATTATTTTTCTTGAAGAAAAATATTTTACCTCACATAAGAAGAGGCTCCTTTATAAAAGTGATTTTCTTGGTCCAGGAACAAATTCTTAATTTTTTGTGTTTTTTAATTTTTTTTATTTCAAGCACTGTACAAAGGAAAGGGTTTTTTGTTTTTAATTAAGATAATAAAGTTCATGAAAAGTGGCTAAAAAGGCAATCCCCTGAGCAGTTGTGGTGCTATGAGGCTGTTATAAGAGAAGACACATTGTTCTTTTAATCATATATCATTCCTTGGTAAATTTTCAGCCACAGTAGATAATAGATTACTATTCTTGCCTTTTCATGATAACCTCCCCGTGATATTTCTTGGGCAGATTATTTTTTCTTCTTTAACTTAAATTGCATGTACAATGGTTAGTACTCAATTATCTGTTGAAAATCAGTTAAATGATTCTATCTTTTAAGGAAAAGTAGGCTATATCATATATTGTGAGAGGGCAAAGTCAGAATATATTAAACAAAAGTCAGTTTGCTCATTTAATTTTTACACCTGTATGATGCCAATAGTGAAGTATATTTTTTATGTCTTACGTAAAAGAATATACTAGTGCTTGTAACTAAATCTAAGAATCTTCAACAAAATGGGTATGTATCACTATAGAAAAGTCAAAGAAAGGAAAATGGTTTGTTGGAAAGAGTACTGGACTGGAGCTTAAAGGTTTGGGTTCTAATTCTGAATATGCTCTGACTAGCTCTGTGACCATGAGTGTGTAGTTTCTGAGCCTCAGCTGTCCGAGCTGTTAGATAGTGGCAGCAATTCTAATTTCACCTACCTGCACAGGGCTGTTGGGAGAATTCATTGAGATGTGAAATATGAACATCTTTTGTAAGCTGTTACAGTGATGGAGAGAATCTGTTGTTATGATTGCTGTAACAACTTAACACATTTTAGGAAACATATATTTGAAGATATTTTAACAATTTATTTTATTTTCCTTCAAAAAATACTAAGTATAAGACTTTAAAATTTGAGAACTTGTTTGCAAATGAGCAATAGTATGCTATTGTTTGGTCAAAAATTAGTTTATCAGCAACCACAAAGATTTAGGCCCTGAGCTTCAAAACGTTCTCTTTATTCTTCAGTTTGATATATTGTATATGGCAAAAATTAGGTGGAGTTTGCCAAGGTAATTTTTAATTTCAGGTTCCCAGATGTTGTATATAGATCAAGCAAAAAATCAGAATATTGGTATTTTTCAAAGGTCATTTGCCCTTGCTGCCACCAGTAACTATATCAGATTGAGGTTATAAAAGCAGAGACCATTTATGTCTGTATTCTTTGTCATGCTCCTGTTATATCCTTTCCTCTCTTTTCTTGGAAACATGTTGTTTTGGGGAAGAAAATGTTTACGCCCTGGGCAAAAATAGGATACCTGGCCCACCCCCTTCCCCTTTGCTATTTTTTCATTTAGACACATAGAGCTGAAATGTATTTGAGAGGTCACTGTGTATGTGTGTTTGTGAAAAATTTGAGGCTAGACTGTTGATGTGGCCATTTAAGACCATATTAAGAATGTATTTTAGGCATTCACCCCCATCCCCCATCCCCCAGTTCTTTAATGCTCCTTGTTCATGTTTTTGTGTGTTTGTGTTTGCCATATTTGCTGGTTGAGTTAATTATAATGATTTTGATCCAGGGAAAAGACCTATCAACAAATTGTATTCTTCCTATCCCTTTAAACTGAATGATCCATTTCAGCCTTTCCCAGGCAATGATAGCCCCAAAGAAAAAGATCCTGATATGTTTTGCGATCCATTCACTTCTACCGCTACTACCACTGCCAATAAAGAGGCTGACCCAAGCAATTTTGCTAACTTCAGTGCTGTAAGTACTGTGAATGGGCTGTTTGGGGGAAAATTTTTCCATTTACAGTTTGAAGAGTTTTCAAAGATTGCTTTGGAATCTGTCAAACTTGCATCATTCCGACTAAATTTACCAACATACTAAAAATGATCTTTATTCTTCCCCCAACCAAAACCTCTGTTTGCTTCTGTTATGATGGTTCTAAAATTATTCCATTACACAAATGACTTTAGTAGTCTTAGTTCTTTGATATGTACCAGTTTTGTAAACCCTTCTTCTTGGTAAACAATATAAATAAAATCTTTACAGGTATTATTTCACAAATTGTTATGGATGATGGGCCGTTAGTCATTTGCTGTCTGCCCACTGGATGAATAACGCCAATAATGAGCTTGTGTATTTGTTATTGTGTATGTGTGTTTGTGTATAAAGCTTTGGTGATTTCTGGAGACCAGTCAGCAACTATCCTATGAGAGAATCAGGTTAGGGATTTTTTGAATAGAAAATAAAACTCTGGTTTTATATAGTAGCATTTTTTAAATGTACATGTCAGCTTTGTGAAAGAAATACAGTTGTCAAGAGTTAACCAATCTTTAATTATTTAGAGGACTCTAATTTATTAGCCTTCTATGTTTACTCTGCATTCTCCCAGAGCTGACTAAAATAGGCAAACCAGTAAAAACAGTGGAAGGATGCTGTGATAACAGCATAGGCAAAACCTATAATATCACAAAAATGGGACAACTAATTATGGAGTTGTCACTCTGGAGGGACATAAAGCAATGACATATATTCCATCATTATTCCGATAAAAATGACTTTTTAAAAAATAAAATTCTTAGAGTAGCTAACAGAGTTTCACTTTCCCAGATGTTTTTCAGGCAGAATGACCTTTATTATCACTGCCTATTCTATAATGAAGGAATTTTCTTCCACTTATCATCTTAAGCCCTTGAGATGATTTTGGAACCCTGGCCACAATTTGCCTAATGTGTCCCTCAGTGTAGCATTAGATCAGTCAACTAGTCCTCTATCCCTGCAGCCATTTGTAGTTAGAAAGGAGATAAGCAGGAATCTGCACACAACTAAGTCAGACAGAATTAAACTGAGCTACCCAGCTTTTGAACCTGTACTTTAAGTTCCAGTGACTTCTTCTGAATGTGAAAGAGGAGAATAGGAATTAATATCTTGATTATTGGAAAGTGGAGTGTCAGATTTATCCTGACTTAACTTCCGTTAGATGGAATTTGAGTTGTTTCAAGCAGAAAATCCAGAATTGGTCTTCTTAGGAGAAAATAATCCCCTTAATATAAAATAGTCTGGCATTTTATAGCATTTAATATCTTAAATATGATTTCAGCAAGTCAAAACCTGTTTGGAATGAGCCTCGAACAATAGCTGAGGCATTTTGTTTATTTCATATTCCAAAATCTCAATATAGGATAATATAAAGCTCCTCATAATAAAAATGTCTTCCTTTTTTCATTACGAAAGATTTGTAAAGTATTAAAAGTTTAAAAGGCCCTCTAATCCCAAGGAAAAAAGCTTTAATTTTTTTTAAAGCCTGACAATTTATTTCATTTCATCCCATCATGTTATTTATCCTATTATGATATTCTTCTATATGATAGGATGTGAAACCAAGTAGAATTTTTTTATTTAGGACCTGCCAAGATTACTGTTATGGGTGGATAAAAATATTTTCCTGACCTAATTACCAGTGTTAAGGTTTTATTTAGACTGGGCCAAAAAGTTCTCAGTGTCTGCCAAAATCTTTATAATGTATAAAAAAAAAATGATTTGGTTCACACCTTGTTTAGTGAACCTGGTACTCTTATTTTATGTATAGCAAAATCAGCATATTCTTTGTTTTCTAGTTTCTGTACCTGAAGGGTTAGGATGAGGTAGAGAATCACAAGTAGGATTAAGTTGAAAATGATTTATCATGTGAGGATGCTCCCTGAACTTGAAGTAGTAGATGTTTTCCAATGGATAAAAAGGCTAGCTAGTCCTGTTTTTAAATCTACTAATTCACTTTAAGCATTTATACTTTTTTAAAATAATGTTTTAATGTTTAGTTTTATAGACTTTCTATCTGTAGATTGCATGAATTTTTTAAATTAAATCACATTTAATAATCAAATGTGTTTTCAGAAAAAAAAAATTAACAAGTAATAAATAAGACTATTCCCAGAGTTTTTCAGGTGAAACAAGTAGTTAATGTCCTTTGTAAAAACTATTCTTCATTCTTTTTATTTGTTTTACTCAGTCTGTTTATTCATCCATTCATCTTTTAAATGCAGTATCCCTCTGAAGAGGATATGATTGAATGGGCCAAGAGGGAAAGTGAGAGAGAGGAAGAGCAGAGGCTTGCCCGACTGAATCAGCAGGAGCAAGAAGACTTAGAATTAGCTATTGCACTCAGCAAATCCGAGATTTCAGAAGCATGAAGAATTCTCCTGTCCTTTGTCAACCATACAATACTCTTCTTCCTGAATACCGAAGCTATTTACAGTGTGTATCAAAACTACCTATGAGCATGGGAATACAAAAGGTTTGAGATTCCTATAAATGTGACAAAAGGTTTTGTTTTTTTAAAAAACTCCATTTCAGATTTGTCTTTTTTTTCCCGCTGTAAAAGCGGCAATCCAGTCAGACAACTTCAGCTAGGCCCCTGTTCTGGTGTGCATTTACTGTGAGCTTTTGCCTGCCTGTGCTACTTTTACTGTAAAGCTAGAGCACCCAAGCTTCTGCTTTCTGGAATATAGAGAAAAAGCTTCACCCCTGTGCTACCCTTATTCTGTAGTTACTCTGATGATAGCCAGTGGGGTTCTTAAAGTTTGCAGTATTCTTCCCTGATTTAAATGGATGAGGGAGGGGAAAGGAAGGAACATCCTATTTCTTTTATGATAGTGCAGATTGGCTAATTCGAAGTGCATGTTTGTATTTCCATATAATCAAAATACTGTTTAATTTGTTTTTTTTTAATAGACAAGGAAAACTATTTTGCATAAATAGACTCCACTATCGAAGAAGGGATGCTTTAGGATTAACCTTTACAGCTTCAGACTCAATCTTTTCCTAAATAAAAATGCTAAAGCCTCATGCGTGAAATATATTTAAATTTTTTTTTTCTGGATTTAAAGAATTATAGATGAACAGATAGCTCTCCATAATTTTAAGTGTTAGACAGTGGAGAAAATTTATCACCTAAAATATACCCATCAGTGTAAGGTAAGCAGAACTCTTAACATGGCAGCCATTCTGCCATTGCTATAGCACTGCTCTCTTTAGTTCATGGTAGATTTATTTTTGTACTTTTGCAGAAGAAACTTTAGCAAGCTAGAACTGGAAGGTACTTTAATTTTTTGTATATATATATTTTTGTTTTCTTTAATGAAGGCTCAATTACTTGAAATGTAAAAACTTTCACTGAACACAAATGAAAAAAGTCACATGCATTAAATCATATTATTGATTTTTGTCCATCTTTGTGTTTTAAAATAGTTTATTCTCTTCATGTTTTCTGCCTATGAAGTTGGCAGGCTAACAACAACAAAAGTCTTGTTTTTTTAATTTAGAGAGAAGAGACCTGCCAAGTTATCAGATCTCTTCATATGTTAAAAGCTTGTCTCCTATAAAATTGACCTAGCAGACAAGCTGAGTTTGAAATAGTCTGTGAAGTAGGCTGTAAATTGTAATCTTAATTTTTTTTAACATTAGTTACTGACTTAGGTAATGTATTGAATACCTATTTACCAAGATAAAGAAAAATACACCTAAAAACTAATTAATAGTCTCTGTGGTCACAAAGTCAAAGTGGTATTGATCTGTGTAAAGCAAAATAACTTATTACCTAGCCTATGAATAAATTCCAAAATATCCAATTCATTTCATATTGAAATGGTGCTTTTTTTTCTCTCCACACACGATTGGACTGCTGCAGTTTAAAACAAACAAACCACTTCCTTGCACTGCTAACTTTTTTCTACTTTTATAAATTGGAACAGTTCAGCATAAAAAATCATACATGTGAAGCAAGGGCTGAATCATAACCACAAGGCTTTAATTTTGATAAACTTATCCAGTGACTAAGGATGTATTGTAAAAGTCGATTGAGAAGGTAGTGTTGGGAATTGTGGTAGGTAGTGGTTTTGGGTTTTTTTCTTCCCCTTAAACTTCAGGAGAAAGGTAAGTTGTCTTAAACAACCTTATTTTGCACTGGGAAAATGAACAGATGTTTGAAATGCTTTTAATATTTTTTTTTAAATTAAAATCTCTGGAAAATATTAAATATCTGTAACTTATAAACACCAACTTTTGATGTAATAAGTGTACCCTAACCTTGTGTATGTTTAACTGGATTACATAGATTCTTATCTTTTGTTAAAATATGTATACTCAGTGGACCAATATAATATTAAAGTATGTATATATTATATAAATATAAATATATATCTCTATCTCCATGCTCACTTGCGTAGGATGAATGTGGTTTGTGATTGATTATATTTTACGTTGTTAACTCTGGCTCCAGAGCCTGTGCTTGAAAAGGACAGATAAATATTCCGGAGAACCAAGTGGCACTGCTTACAAAGTTTTAACCATCTTCTACATTCTTGTTCAGGTTCTTCTCTTTACAGAATTTTCTCTTATGTTTCAAACTTCCAAGTTGTAGCCTGTAACTATGAGAACAATAAACTTTAAGTAATAATAAAACTTACTATCCATACATACTCTATTTGAAATGGAGTTTTGCATGGTGCTCTTATGCCCATGCTGTGTCCATGGAGGGGCATGTGTTCAGTCAGTACAGATTAGTGTGTATGAAGTACACGAGACAATACCTGGTGTAGAATACCTAATAAATGTTAACTATTATTTTTAGTTATCAAGCACCGTTTTCGAAAAAGAAAGATAGGAAATGTATATACGTAGGGATAGTGCCTGAAACATAGGTGGCTTTGCATATATTTGTCGAATGAGGATTTATGACATGGATTCTAGGAGGGCACTGTGGTGTAAAAAAAAATCATACAATCCTGGAATTGAATCCCTGATCTACCATTTTTGAGAAGGATGACTTTGAGAAAGTTATTTAGCCTCCCTGAGCCTCATTTTCCTCATCTAATGAACATCATAATACCTAATTCACAAGATTGTTCTGAAGGATTTAACTTTGACAGCTTTTTTATAATACAAGTTTACCCATGCAGTTACAATCCGTGTGTTCAAGGGTCAACTGTGTTTTTGAGCCGCGGCTGGGAATTCGTGTATGCAGAAGGCCAGCTTAAGTTATATGCAGATTTTTGACTGTGTGTCATGGTGGGGTCAGTGCCCCTACCCGGCCCCCTGCATTGTCCTAGAGTCAACTGTATTTATTTTAATTTTAAAAACTCAACTATGTTATTATTAATAGTGAAAAATAGCTATTAGTTATTGACTGCACATTATGTGTGGAGTGCTATACATAGCACTTTATGTGTGTTTTCTTCACAAGAGCCCTTATGTGTGTTTTCTTCACAAAAGCCCTAAGTAGTACTATTATTATCCTCTATTTTAGACATGGGCAAACAGGCTCAACAAAAGTTAAAATAACATGCTTTATATCACAGAGCTAATAAGTAGATGAGCCAGGAATTGAACTCTGGTATCTCTGTTTCTAAAACATGA